CTCTCCTGAATCTCCCAGCGCGGACCGCACTGATTTGGTGCGTGGCCGCGCTGGTTGTCCTAGACTTTACTGGCCCTCTAAACCTAGCCACGCAGACCGCGCAAGAATGCACCGCGGCTGCGGCCGCGCGGCTTCCAGCGCGGACCGCGCGGAAATGACCGCGGCCGCGCTGGGGGCCTGCAACACCTGAACCTGCAATCAACTGATATTTCTAGCCTAAGACCTCCCGGGGACCTACTCAAAACTCACCCGAGCCCTCGGGGCTCCAAACCGAACATACACATACGCTCAAAAACATCCTACGGACTCATCCGTGCGATCAAATCGCCCAAACAACATCATAATCATCAAATTAGGCCTCAAGACCCAGGATTTCCTTCCAATTTACATAAGACATCAAGTTTACTGCTTCCAGCTCAAAACATGTCAAATGACGTCCAAATCATACCAAACTTCACAGCAATTGCTTAACTCATATTTAAGACTCGTGCCGGGCGTCGGAACCAAAATACGAGCCCACAGCACCGTCTGCTAAACAAATAATACTTTCTAATTCTTTAATTATTATCAGAAAACAATTTCACACAAAACTTCATTCCTCGGACTCGAGGCCTCGGAATTTGATCCCGGGTACACCCCCAAGTCTCATATTTTCTTACGGACCCTCCGGGACTGTCGAATCACGAGTCCGAGTCCATTTGCCCAAAACATTGACCGAAGTCAAACTTAATCAATTAAAACATCAGAATTTATTATTTTTCTCACAAATTCATATTTAAACTTTTCCGGCTACGCGCCCGGACTGCGCACACAACCCGAGGCAACCCCAAATGAGGTTTCCAGGGCCTCAGAAGTACAGAGGGAGTAGGAATACAGGTGATGACCCCTTCGGGTCGTCACAAACCTACTTGAAAAGCTCTTACAAAGAAGAATTGACAAATCAATGGGAAAGATGAAACGAGAGGTTCTTTTATGGATAGGACGCACAGTGTCTGTAGAATTACAGCCGAGTATCATCTATGCATCAAATGCAAAGACAGTGTGGAACGAGTTCAAAGAGAGGTTTAATAAATCTAACCTTACTCGTTTTTACCTTCTATGGATACAAATTGGATTGCTAAAGCAAGGTACTTATTCTGTAACATCGTACTATACAAAAATGGACGACCTTTGGGATGAAATAGATCTGTTATTTCCAGCACCAGGTTGTGATTGTGAATAGACTAGACCTCTCATTGAACAGTTTAAGAATTTACGTTTAATGCAATTCTTAGTTGGACTTAATGAAAGCTATAGCCAAGTGAGAAACCAGATATTGCTGAAAACACCAGTAGTGACTGTAAACCAGGCTTATGCTTTGGTTATTCAAGAGGAAAGCCAACGTGAGTTAGGTGTACTGGAAGTGAACAGGGACCCTTGACTATGATGGAAGGACAGAATCAAGGCTATAAGGCTAAGAAGATTGGGATTGTTTGTGAATACTGTGGATACAAAGGACACCTCAAGGAAAATTGTTACAAAATCATAGGGTATCCTCCTGATTTTAAAAGCAAAAAGAAACAACAGGGCCAAGAAAACAGAGTTTATGCTAACATGGTTTCAGAAGAGACTGCAGGTTCTTCTCAAGGACAACAAATTGGACAGTTTTTTACTGAAAGCCAGTACAACCAAATATTAGGTCTTTTGAACAAAACACCTGCAGGTGATGGTCAGGCACTTATGGCAGGTATAGCCACATTACTGTCCAATACATCTCTATGTGAGTGGATAATAGATACATAAGCATCTCATCATATTATATGTAATATGGAGATCTTATCTAATTTAGAGAATATTAATCAACAAGGCAACCATAAAGTGCAGGTTCCAACAAGTAGCAAATGTTCAGTAACACACAAAGGAAATGCATCTACCCTAGGAGGATGTGAATTGAAGGATGTCTTATATGTTCCTGATTTTAAGTTTAACATGTTGTCAGTCTCCATATTGACCAGGGAATTGAGGTGTTATGCCCTATTCTTCCCTGACTTTTGTGTGTTGCAGGGCCTTTTCAATGGGAAGGTGATGGGGATTGGTAGAGAGGATTGTGGACTTTACATACTAAAGTGGAGGGAGAAGCCTATAGCAGCAATAGTTACCAAAGGAAATGATGAAAGCAGTCTTTGGCATATGAGATTAGGACATCCATCAATAATGGCAATGAAGCATATTTCTGCCTTGAAGGATAAAGCAGTAGATAGTCTACAACACAACTGTGAAGTGTGTCCTTTAGCTAAGTAAAGCAGATTGAAGTTTCCTCTTAGCAGCAGTAAAACTGATTGTATTTTCCAGCTTATTCATCTTGATGTTTGGGGTCCTTACAAATTACCTACATATGATAGAAAATATTATTTCCTTACGATTGTGGATGATTTTAGTAGGTATACCTGGGTGTGCTTATTGCAATCAAAATCTGAAGTTGTAACAGTGCTGAAAGACTTTCTTATAATGGTAAAGACCCAATTTGATATGAATGTGAAAGTGTTAAGATCTGATAATGGGAAAGAGTTTTTTAATTCTTGCTGTAATGAGTTGTTAGAATCTTTAGGTATTGTGCATCAAAGCAGTTGTCCCTACACACCCCAACAGAATGGGGTGGTGGAAAGGAAACACATGCATATACTTGAAGTAGCTAGAGCATTAAGCTTTCAGAGTTCTATTCCTAGCAGGTTTTTGGGAGACTATATTAAAACTGCTGTATACTTGATCAATAAATGGCCTACATCTTTATTACATGGAAAGTCTCCTTATGAGATTTTGTATAACAAGCTACCTGCTATTGATCACTTGAAAGTGTTTGGGTGTTTATGTTTGCTAGCAATTTTCCAAAGGGAGACAAGTTTGCAAAGAGGGCAAGGAAATCAGTCCTCATAGGGTACTCAGAAGTTCAGAAAGGATATAGACTGTTTGACTTGGAAACTAACTCTATTTTGTAACCAGAGATGTTAGATTTAGAGAACATATCTTTCCTTTCAGAGAAAATACAACCACTATAGAAGACTGTTTTCCTACCCAAACAACTGTGCCAGTACAACCTAATTTTTCATCATCAGTTTCAACTACTGATCCACAAGAATCATACCCCACTATAGCCACAGATGTTCCTATTCCACCCACAGACAATAACCCAGTCGCAGGAGATGTCAATATACATGTTGCATAAATACTGGACTGATACTACAACTCCAAATACAGAAGCAGTTGAAGGTGAACATGAGGTGATCCTCACACAAGTAGGCTGGAACCTATTAATGATCAAGGTTCTAGGAAGACAACAAAAACATCAAAGCCTCCAGTTTAGCTAAAGAATTATCAGACCACCAAGAAGTTCACTGGTTGCTGTTTATACCCCTTATCTAATACTTTGACTTATGCTAATCTCTCAACAGGTTATCAAGCATATTTAGAGGATTTTTCAGTTGAAGTTGAACCCAGCACTTTCCAACAGGCTTCCAATGACAGCAGATGAGTTACAGCTATGAAAGAGGAGATCAAAGCACTTGAGGACAATAACACTTGGGAGATAGTGGACTTACCGGTTGGGAAGCAGGCCATTGGGTCAAAATGGGTATACAAACTCAAATACAAAGCTAATGGAGAGGTAGAGAGATACAAGACAAGGCTGGTTGCAAAAGGATATAATCAAAAGGAAGGGCTGGACTACCATGACACCTTTTCCCCTGTAGCCAAGATGGTCACACCATTATTAGTATAGCTGCTGCAAAAGGATGGATCATGTATCAAATGGATGTGAGCGATGCCTTTCTACAAGGAGATCTCTATGAGGAGGTTTATATGCAGTTACCTCAGGGATTTCACAAGCAGGGGGAGTTGAAGGTATACAGGCTTATAAAATCTCTCTATGGTCTCAAACAAGCATCCAGACAATGGAACATAAAACTCACTGATGCACTTACTCAGAATGGCTATAAACAGAGTGCATTTGATCACTCCTTATTCATAAAGCACCAAGGAGAAGAGGTGGTCATTATATTGATATATGTGGATGATTTACTAATTACTGGGAGTTTTTCCAGTCTAATTAATGATGCCAAGACAATTTTACATAGTAAGTTCAAAGTTAAGGACTTAGGCACATTACGATACTTCCTGGGAATTGAAGTCTCAAGATCAAAGAAGAGGGTCCTACTCAATCAAAGAAAATATGCTTTGGAATTAATCTCGGAGACGGGTTTGAGTGGTGCAAGGCCAATTGCAACTTCTATAGAGTTGAATCAAAAATTGACAACAGTGGAATATGTCACATGCAATGGGAAGACAGGAGATTCAGAGTTAGAAGATAAATCAACTTATCAAATATTGATAGGAAGGTTGCTATACTTACTTATCACTAGGCCTGACATAAGCTTTGCAGTACAAACTCTGAGTCAATTTATGCAAAAGCCCAAACAATCACACATGGAGGCAGCATTGAGAGTGGTGAGATACATCAATGGAGCAGCAGGAATGGGGTTATTGATGGAAGTAGGAGCCATTGATCAACTTAGTGCATACTTTGATTCAGACTGGGCACCATGCCTCAACACAAGGAGGTCTGTGATAGGTTATGTCGTGAAACTAGGCAATTCCTTGATTTCATGGAAATCAAAGAAACAACCTACAATGAGCAGGAGTTCAGCAGAAGCTGAATACAGAAGCATGGCAGCTGGAACTGCAGAAATCACATGGTTGACAGGAATGTTGGAAGACTTGGGGATCAAAGTTTCTAAACCTGTTTCTTTGTTCTGTGACAACAAGGCAGCCATTCAAATAGCTGGAAATCTAATATTTCATGGGAGAACAATGCATATTGAGATAGACTGTCACTTTGTAAGAGAGAAGATCAAAGCAGGGGTTATACATCCCTGCTATATTTCTTCTTCTTTGCAGTTAGCTGATCTCCTAACAAAGGGGTTGTGGCAGATGCACAACATTGTTTCTTAGTATCCAAGCTTGGTGTGTTAGATATATTCCACCCTCCAGCTTGAGGGGGAGTATTGAGAGTTAAAAGATACACTACAACATTATGCATATACAGCTACGAAGTACGTCGTAGCTAAAGATGAAATTTTCCGTGGCTAAACACTTTAGCCACAATAATTTTTTTCGTAGCATCCGTAGCTAGAAGTAGCGTAGTTGAAAGTTAGCTACAAACTTTAGTATTTTGTGGCTAAGGATTAGTACTTATTGCTACAAGAATTTTTGTGTTGTGGCTATATTATTAAAATATTTTGCAACGAAGAATATATATCTATAGCTAATGTTTTTATTCTTTTGCCACAATAAATTAATTTTGTAGCTATCTTCTATACTTTAGCCACGAAGGGATATATTGTGGCAAAAAATATTATTTATTTAGCAACAAAATTCAAATATGTAGCTGTACACACATATTAGATCTGTATTTTAGTATTTATATTTTAGCTATCAACCCATAATTTCATAGCTATAAATTGTCAAAATTTTCACGGTTAGATTTTTTTAAATTATGTCTTATTTGTGACTAGATTTTTATTATATTTTATTTTTATTAATTAATTTATTAGAGATAATAACTTTTTTTGTCCCATGCACTGCTATTTTTCTTTTTTAATATTTTTACATTTTCAAATATTTCATATTCATACATCTTTTATCAAATTATATAACACACGGTAATTATCACTTTATTATACAAATTGACATCCGAATAGTTTCAAAAATTAACTCTAAAATGTATAATTGTCTATCTAAAGTACAACCGGTTATTTAACTATGATCTATAAACTTCTGAAGGGTTCCACATCAAAACAAAACTAAATTCTAAATATTTGATCTGGGGATCGAATATGTTGCCACCAGATGATATTCGGCAGTCAAGGATGAAGTAATTTCACTCTTGCATCAAGATTGATCCTTGATCTTCTTGCATTCCATAGGTTAAAATACACCCTATAAATTCAAAAAAAACAATAATTAGCACAAAATAATGAGCGAAACAAAAGAAACTTTAATACAAAGATGCAAGTTTTATTTGTAAAAATACTAGTAGAATGTTCAAAGAGAGAAAAATTATATGTAGATAATTCTTTTACAGGAGTTTTTAGCAACAAGAGGGAAAAATTCAAAGCAACAAGATAAGAAAACAAGCCTGTATACTTTTTAAAAAAATTGAAAGGATTTTCATCTCATTTTTACAATGTCTTTTCGACGAACTGTGACTCCTCCCAACATTACATTATAATCTTCAAGGTTCCACTCAATACCTTTCACAATACGGCACAATATCTATCAAATTATTAGAATATAAATCCAAAAATTCAAATCAAATAGTTATATGGGGATTGAAAAATCCTAAGTTGTAGATACATAAACATACCTGGAAAGAGAGAACGCGTCGGG